TCCACTAAATTCGATAATGACTGTGTGGCCAGTGTAATATCTAATACTTCAGATCTGTTCCTTGTAACAAAGGTAGGTGAATTGCCCGTGTTTAGAATAATTAGATCTGTTGCTGCTATATATTCAAGAATTTCTTCTCCTCTACGGTTTGTGTCTGAACTGCCCCACACCGTATGGTGGGTATTGACATCACCGCCCATAAGTAATGGGAGATTGTTTGCTTTGGAGAAGTCGTATAGAGCCTTGAAACCTTCTCCGGGGACATCCCCATGTGTAGGGTTCTCCAGATAGAAGGAGCTCAGTATAATATGCGAGTTTGCTCCAGTTAAAATTCTCACGGAAGTGATATCTCTAGAGCTTTGGTTTCTCTTAAAACCATACCGTATCAATGAAATTCAATTCAAACTTGTGTGTTTTGAGTTTAAAGTTTTTTAGTTAAATTACATTAAAGTAAAAATTGGAATCCAATCTCAAAAATGTAAAAATATTGTTTCTTTTTTTGAAAAAGTCGTTATTTGCATTTTACAACCGTTTCATCTATTTTTCTAATTTGATACTTCGTGTAAGATTTGTGTAACGTTTGTCATTTTTGTGTAATATTTGTCTTTTGTGTGTAACATTTGTTACTTTTGTGTAACATTTGCCGGCTGCCTTATCTCTTTTATATGCTTACAATATGATTATTTCAATGATTATTATACAAAAAAGTCACGAAGCAGCTACACTAGTGATATTAATTTAATTGATTTAAAAGTAAATTTATCGACAGTAAAACTGAGAATTTAAAAATATTTAAAACAAAACAGATTTAACCGGCCATTCAAAAAACCCTAGCAAATCAAGACATTTTTTGTTGCGAAAAACCCTAGCAATTTCAAAGGTTTTTCTATTCCAAACCAAAAATTTTGAAAAGCAAAAAAAAAAGGTCTTCACTTTCTTGGCGAAAAACCCTAGCAATTTCAAAGATTTTTCTATTCCACGCAAAATTGAAAAGCAAAAAAAAAAAGGTCCTCACTTTCTCGGCGAAAATCCCTAGCAAATCGAAAGAATTTTCGGCTGTCGTCTGGGGGGTAGCTCTCCGACGATTTAGGGGGGGGGGGGTTATCCGGGCTTACATCCCCCCTGTGCCCATGTTTGGGTATAACAATGAAACCATTGTTTACGACAATAACAAATGAAAATTTGAAATATGACAGTTGTAGAAACATCTTTCAAACTTCAAGAATAATAAAAAAATAAGATGAAAGAATGTGAACAGCAAGAAAAAAATGTATTTCGTGTGGCATTACAACGATTCGTGTGCATAGTTACTGTAAGATGACTATGGTATAGTGGATTATTGCATGCGCTAAGAGTCGTATGGTCTTGAGTTCGAATCTGTCCAATTTTTTTTTAAATTTCATTACGCCCTTTCGTAATTGGCATAGAGTTTTGTCCGCCTTGAATGACCCTGTTCGGAGGGCAAAGGTTCATTTTACTTTTCCGCACACATAGTGTATTACTTTTCCACACACATAGGTAAGGTGAAAAGTATTGTAATCGGTCAAAATTTTGAAAACTTCAGAAATATGTTTTCTGGACGTTTCTGAGGTCAGGAAACCCGAATCAGGCCGTTTTGAGCATGGTTTATGTTAATCTGTACGTCGTACGTTGTACGTCGTACGCAAAATTTGTTACCAAGATTGCGCTCATCGTAGAAACTTAATTCAAAATCTGACGTAACAGGATGATTGGGGGTCCCGAGGAATAGAAATCATTAGCTTTTGAGCGACTTTGGTTGATGGAAAAAAATGTCATGCCTGAAGTGATACCTATGAAAAAAAGTCCAATTTTCGTCCAAAAGTCATACTTAATGTAGACTTAAACACTCAAAAATATGTACTGGGCGGTTTTTTGGCACGAGAAAACCAAATCCGAGGTTAGTTTTGAGATACAATCAATTTTTGATACAGTTTCCTTGAAAGAATCACAAAAAAAATTGAATTTTTGTATGGGAGCCATAACTGTATGCTACCTTAATGGTGTGAAACTTTGCACGGTCTATTTTTTACACAAAAAAATAACATTCTGAAAGTTTGAAGAAATTTCAATCAAAAGCAAAGTTTCACACCATTAAGGTAGCATACAGACATGGCTCCCATACAAAAATCCAAAATTTTTGTGACTTTCGTTATGAAAAGTGTTTCAAAAATAATTTCTATGGCAAAATTAGCGTCAGACATATTTTTTATAGTGTTTTGTTAGAAAATAATAGAATACTTTCAAATGTCGTACAAATGAGTTCATCATGAAAGTGTGAAAAATCTTTTCTCGGGTACTTCTGCTATTAAATTAAAGAATATTTTGTTGCCAAAATTGAAACATATTTTTTGGCCTCAAACTTTACGCCGCTTGAAAGGCTTGAAAAATCTAAAAAATATTATTTTGAACTTTCTTAATAAAATACGCAACTACCACCGTGCGGAAAACTTTGTCTTACTCCCGTAAGACTCTTTATTTATATTATTTTGACCCCCGCCCTCCGAATTGGGTTATTCAGGGCGGCCAAAACTATATGCCAATGGAAACTACATTGATATGCGTAACTTTCATGGGAGGCAACACGTATGCTCATTTGAGTCATAAGGGGTGAATATCCCATTGTGAAGTCACAATGAAATGAGGTCACAGCAATGAAATCCCTACTACCGTGCTAGATGGTGTCGACACGAGTGGACGGATTTTTAAATTTATTTGATCGACGCCATGTTACTATACTCGTCCATTATAACGTACATGTAACAGAAGAAACACACAGTCCATGTCCACGCTAGTGGACATAAACGATTTGAACCGTCAATGTGAACTAGTTCGAGTATCGAACTTTACATAGGATAATATACGATGAATATGGATTACAAAGTCTGTTTCAAAATACCGTCACCAATGTCGACACCATTTGGCATCAAAATTTTGACACTAAAAATACGTGTTATTGTTGTTGTCGTTTCATTGCTGTGAATGAGGTAGTTTCACTTTTCGACCCGAATTAAAGGTTCAAGTTATAAGGAGTAAATTGTAGGTCAAGAGAGATTGACAATGTATGGAGTAATTTTTTACGAGGAATCGGGGTATGGACCCAATTTCGGGGTATTTTTCGAAATTTTCGTGAATTTTGTAGGGGGACTCCCTTGGGGGTGATGGGAGGGGATGTAAATTGGCCTAAATGAAATGTGCGGATAAAATAAGCTATATCTGGCCATACATTTGAGTGCAAAATTCTGCACCCAAAAAGTGGAAAATCGACTTTGTATCATCTTACCCTAATGAGGGGGCTCTGAACTATTGATTGACTTTACCACATAGGTCTCCCGTCTGTTCCATTTTACGACTTGCACAGTGTTTTTGATAAATCCATGTTGACTTTCATAAACAATGTCCATTAGATGTTTATTGATATGGCTTGTGACGATCGAATCAAGAAGCTTTGAGATGATACATTGCAGAGCTACACCACGGCAATTTTCAATTTTGTTTCTGTTTCCGTTTTTATATACCAGGCGATGTATGATGTTTTCCATATCCGTGGTACAATACAGGTTGGTAGCGACTCTCGTAGCAATAATGTGATTGGCGTTTGATTCATCATTGGATTCCAAACAAAGTTTGATGAATTTATTTGGAATTTTATCTGGAAGTAACGATTAGTGCTCACTCACTAGCTTCTCGATGATTTCAATTGGTGTGCAGATATCACGAATTCTCAAAATTTAATCTTTTTCATAAATCACAGGAAAAAATTCCGCAATTAATGTTGGGTCATTTATTCAAACTCCCAGATACTTTCATGAGTTAAATCCTCACGTTTTACTCTTTTTCATGTTGATGTACTGTTTCTTGGATCATCATCGATCAATGTCTTCATTAGGGTGGAATTATTTTTCAAATTTGCTTTCATATCTCGATGGCCACTTGGAAAAACATGCCTTATGACCATAAAACCTCCAGATTCAAGATATGAAAGAATATCTGGAGACCTCCAGATTCAAGATATGAAAGAGTATTCAAATTTATATTTCCCAACCCAATCAATATCATGCAGTTTTTCATTTATAATTGTGAAATCTGCTTTGTTGCAGTTTCAAAGCATTGTTCAAAGTGACTGTTTCATTGTATTTTATCTCTATTGCATTGTGATGGCTTTCGTGATTTAACAGATGAAAATCACTCATGAATCATTGAAACGATTCAACATCATTTGTCCAAATCAAATTGAGCCTAATTAAAAATTAAGACCCAGTCTGAATCATCATCTTCATCAACAAAGCAAATCAAACATGGCAAATCATCATTAACATCTCCTGATAAGATTATAACATTATTTTTACTCAACATCGACTCTTTATTCCCCTAGGAAAAACTTCAAAGCTTTGAAGTCCACATTTTGAAGTAAAATTGGTATCCATTCAAACGCTCTAAAAATGAGTATTCGGGTTTTTTTGGCATGATAAGATCGAATAAAACGCTTTTTATGCTATGAAATTAGATTTTAATACACTTTTACCACACGTTGAAATTTTTGGTCATTTTAGACCATTTTGGATACTTTTTGTGTGGTGAGTGTATTCAAACCCAATTTTATAGCAAAAACAGCGTCATATTTGGTCTTTTCATGCCAAAAAACCCCAAAATACTCATTTTCAGAGCGTTTGAGTGGATACCAATTTTACTTCAAAATGTGGACTTCAGAGGGGGATGACCAATCAATTTTTCTTCAAATTACTAAATTTTTTTAAACGAATTGTTTGGCTTAACTATACTCGAATCGTACTATATTGCATGAATTCAAAATGTTACTAGGGTATAAACAGCCGATTTTGGTTTTCCGGAAAACTCTCTAGGACCATTGTGGAAAAACCTGACATGTTAGAGAGAAACGCAAAGTGTATTATTATTATTTAACGGCCACTGCTTGGACCACCTAACAAAATCTTTTAAATGTTTTTAATAAATAAATCGATGAAAAATATTTCTTACTCTACTCACTCTATTCACAAAAACGATTTCGGCCCTGATTAAAATTCATAAAAAAAAGTAAACAAGTCTTATTGACTTCAACAACAATCTTACCACGGTTTTCGTAAAGTGTCTTTGATACAAACGTGAAAAGTCATCAAATTTTAGTTCACCACGAGATCCAGCATCAATTTCATTGAAATATTCCAATAATTTTTGTGTTGAAATTTTACAATTTATACGAGAAAAGAATGATTTCAGCTCCTTTATAGTAATTCTATGAAGAGTAATTTTAAAATGGTTATTGTTTGAACATAAATGATTTAAAAAATGCTTACGTTTCCCGAGAATTTTCTATATTGTAAAACTCTTTCCGGAGCCATCGCTCCATTTCCAATGGATATGGTGATGATAATGTGTCGCTTACCTAAAGATCAGTGAAAATTAATAGAATAGTAGGATAGTATTATATATCATGGGATAGTATTATATATCATGGGATAGTATTATACATCATGGGATAGTATTATATATCATGGGATAGTATTATATGTGATATCAACCTTTTTTATCAGTATATAGGGGTAGGGTATAATGGGGGCAAGACAAGAGATAATGTATTCACCGCCATCACCTTCATACTTTATACGATAGTTTGTTTGCGTTCATATTCGTTCTATTGTGCATTGTTTGAATATTGAGAATTAACTGGCCCCCAACAAGTCAACTCATATATCAAATAGTTTGTGTTATTACGTTTCAGTGCATAATACCAGAGCCACACCACTATCACTGTGCGTCACTCAAAATGTGATGGAGACGAGACCCAACATTTTTACATAATTTGGGTATGCTGGTTTCAATGGCATCACCCGTTTTTTTCTAACACGTCAGGATTTTTCACAATTTTCCTAGAGAGTTTTCCGGAAAACCAAAATTTGCTGTTTATTATCTAGTAACATTTTGAATTCATGCAATATCCAAGAGGGGTGACCTATCAGGCGTTGTGGTACGGTAGAGTATAAACAGCCAAAACGGGTGATGCCATTGAAATCAACATACCCAAATTATGTAAAAGTGATGGGTCGATGGAGATGAGTTTTTAAAGTTAAAAAATGACGCACAGTGTATTTGATATACCAATTAGAAAGAGCGACAACAACAATTTGAACCAATTAATTATATGCTTACAACATTCAATGATTATTATACAAAAAAAATTCCAAACAGTGATGACGTAATGTGCTCAGTTACCGGACAGCACCCAGTTATCGGACATTTGCATTGTATTTAAAAAAAAAAACGAATTTATACTCGAATATTCAAAAATTTATATATATAAAAAGAAAGCTCATAGTTTTTTCGATTAGAGTGCATAAAATTTTATTTTTTGCATTACAAATGAATATCCTTTTGTCATCTTTAATTTCAGCATCATTGAATTTTTTCTGTCATTTGCGCTTAAAAACGAATTTCAGTCACATGAGTTGCTCTATGCAAGTTTGTAAAAAAATATTTCAAACTATATGCATTAGTGTGAAACTTCAAATTCAAAGTAATTAAATATCGTACATTTAATTTTAATTGTTATATAAAATCAATTTTATAAATTTTCAACCTTCTTTACCTGTCCGAGAACTGGGCAGGAAAAAGTGTCTTATTTATGGTATTTGCCCATTTATCGGACAGGTAGATCAGTTCAAGTGAACATTCAAACAGATTTTTTTAAAATTATTTCAATTTTTTATGCAGCAGTAATTATATATTTTTGAAACGATGATTCTGAATTTTTTGAAAAATATTACAATATATCGAATTAATTTTTTTAAAGTGTTTAATTTGACGTTTTTTCCAATGTCCGATATCTGGTACATTTTCATACAAAATCGTAATGCCCAATTATCGGACACGATATACGCTCTTATGTTAAAGAGTTCTTCAAACAGAAAAGATTATTCCACTAAGTGAAATGTTTACTTCAATAATAAAATTGTATTTTAATTTCAAAATATTTTTATTCAGTGAAGTTTTCTGATTATTTTTATATAATGTTTAAACATATCTCTCCAAAATTATCGCGTTAATTTATTTCTGTAAATAGTGCCCAAATTGACATTTCTTTCATTAGGATGAATACAAGATTTCGAAATTTTGTCGAAAAATACAATATTAAATATTTTGAACATATTTTCCAAATAATTAGGTTTTTATCGCCTATCGAATGAAAAGAATTCCATTATTTTTCCGTTCACGCTTTTCTTTTATTTTCTGAAAAACTATGTCCGATAACTGGTATCAACTCTGTGTCCGATAACTGGTACATCACCCAAACACTACATGTCCGATACCAAGGCACGTTGACTTGTTTCCGTTTTTTGTAAATAAAATGAATAAATTAAAGGCTTTGTGGAATATATAGACATATTTTGAGAGAGAAATGAATAACGTAGCGATCTACGTAAAGAGTAATAAGAAATATAACATATTTTTTTCACTAAAATACTTCAAATTCAAACAAGCTTCTTAGGTGTCCGGTAACTGGGCACATTACGTTACTAATTTAATTCACGTTTGTAGTTATTTTTGTATAAAAAGTGCGTCGAAAGTTATTTGTATAGTTAAACTAATATCATATTCGGTTTTCTCCTGAATACAGTAAAAATATATGTAATAAACGCAGGAGTGAGATCACAGTGACGAAAAGTTCACCTTACGACATTTTTTTTAAACAAAATTCGTGAACTATGTCTCGGCAATTCCATAAAGCGTCCAATCGTTTTTGCAGGCAAAGTCACCGGTTTCTCTCAAAATTGGCATACACAAACTCGTTTGGGTAACAAACTAAAAAAAATATTTTTCAGCCCGATCGGGTGAATAATAGAGGATACGCAATATTTTAGAAAAATGAAAAAAGGCATTTTTTGTAAGAGCAACAAATCAGAAACGGCTCGAAAGATTTTAAAAACAAGTATACCGGTAATAAATAGAAGGATGGAATATAAAACATTCCAACACTTTGACCCCCAGATTTCGGTCAAATTAAAGTGAGACTAACAAAATATTAGGTTTTCATAACTCCAGTTCCGTGTGAAACGTCAAACACGGGCAATATCTTGAACTCACGAAAGAGAATTCACTTCTCAAAACACAAATTGAAAATCTCACAACGAGTTAAAATAATACTACATGGGCTGATAAGTTCTTAGAATCGAACTGTAGATGGCGACACAAGTGAATATCCATCTCATTTTTAGGAAGAGCCATCCTTTTTAGGAATGCCAACGGAATTTGAGCCAAATCTGTTCTTGAACTCGGAAATTACAACTGTTGGAAGGGACCAACCTCCAGTTTTTTCTTAAAATGCAAAACGAATCAAAATTCATTTGTTAAATAATTATAAATTTTTGTTTCTTATACCTATCAGTGAAACCAAAACCATTTAGAAGTAGTCTATTGAGTTTGCATGTGGTCGTACAGACCGAAGTAATTATTGCCTCTAAAATGGTAGTTTTTGAAGAGATGCTTCAATAAATCCAAGATTTTGGCATGAAAGACAGCACTATTCGCGTGAATAATCTAGACTAGATCCCAAGGATTCCGTACAATAGTTTTGGAAATTTATTACTTCAACTTTTGGGTAAAAAAAATTCACTCGCAACGAGTTTCCGTATTTACCCAAAGTGGAATCAAGGGGCGACTTTATAACGATGTTGAATGGATTTTATATAAGCGTGGCACAGAGAGCACTACGAATCCAAATGACGTACGCGTACTGATTCATACTTTAATATGTCACACAGAGTACGACCATAAATACTCGCCTCATTGAAATACTTATTTTTTATGAAAATTCATGTAAATAATATTTACAACACATTTTCTAAATTTTTATTTAAATTGATATTTTTCACTAATTTCTTTTAATCATATTTAATACTTGTGTATAAAATATGAACAAATATGCAAAACATTTTGCTTCAGCCTACAGCTCTTTGAAGGGAAATCTACAATTGGATAGCTCGGAGTTTGAAAATATTAGCAACATTTGTGCTGAAATATCACCGATTGAAATAACTGAAGAGCTTGTTGGACAACAAATTGACATGCTTCCGGATGATCTAGTCAGTGGTCCCGATGAAATACCAAATAAATTTATCAAGCATTGTTTGGTTTCATTGCGGGGGCCAATCACAACATTGTTAAGAGAATCTCTTGAAACATACACTGTACCACAGATTTGGAGAACGTCTTTTGTCAGACCGGTTTACAAAAACGGTGACAGAAACAACGTTCAAAATTACCGTGGTGTCGCTCTTCAGTGTATAGTGTCAAAAATTCTAGATTCGATCGTCACGAACCATCTCAATCAATATCTAAAGAACATAGTACACGAAAGTCAGCATGGGTTCATCAAAAATAGGTCAACGATAACGAACTTGGCAGAATTTACATCGAATACGATAATCAACATGGGAAAGGGACATCAAACAGACACCATATATTTGGACATCGCAAAGGCTTTTGATTCTGTGAATATCAAATTATTAATTCAAAAGCTAAACATCATGGGATTGAATACACAGCTGTTAAAATGGATCGAATCGTATTTGTCTGGACGCAGACAAATAGTCAAGATAGCAGATACCAAATCTGACCCAATTGAAGTAACTTCTGGTACTGGTCAAGGTTATCCCATTGGCGCAACTTTGTTCATTATGTTTGTGATAGATCTACCTTTCGTCGTGACCAAATCTTGCATCCTTTCATTCGCTGATGATACCAAGATTTCAAAATGTATAAAATCAGAAGATGACTGCATTCATCTTCAAGAGGATTTGGATCGTGTGGCAAATTACTATGAGCGCAATTTATTAAAGTTGAACGTTAACAAAACAAAAATAATATCATATCATCGTGGATCACTGAAATATGAATATAATTACAACATAGATGGCGTGCAAATTGAAAGAGTAGAGGTAATAAAGGACTTGGGAGTATTGCTTGATGTGAAGATGAATTTCAAATCACACATCGAGCATGTTGTTGCAAAGGCAAAATCAAGATTGGCTTGGTTAAAATTCAACAGCAGGGATTTTGTCGACCCATGGACTTTAAAACGCCTTTACTTTACATTTATATTACCGATTATTGAGTATGGATCTGAATATACGACAATATGTGCAAAAGAATAGAGTCAATACAAAAACAATTTTTAATATATGCTCTGAGGAGAATGGCCTGGAACGATTTTAGACTGCCAAAATACGAACACAGGCTACTATTTCTGCAAATGATTACTCTTGAGGAGAGACGCAAGATGGCGCAAGTGTCTTTTATTTTCAAAATTATTCACGGAGATTTGAAGTCAACTTATGTTTCAAACAGTATGAAATATTACGATCCAGCACATGATACCAGAGCAACACCACTATTTGATCTACCAATTAGGAGAACTGATTACACAAAATATGAGCCAATGAATTATATGCTTACAACATTCAACGAATTTTATACCAAAAAATTGCAAAACAGTGATAAAAATTTAATTGATTTAGAAGTAAATTTATCAAAAGTAAAACTGAGAATAGAGAATTATTTAAAGCAAAGCAGATAAATACAAAAATTTGTTATGGATTATAGAAATTTTAAGCAGTTGAAAAATTAATTTATGAAATTTATATTATTAACATGAGAGGAGCAATAATTTTACATTTTCTCTCAAAAATGCTTGATAAAAATCAAATTGTATTATATTATGTTTATTTAATTAAATTATTTTCAATAAACCACCAAGGCGAAGGAACGCTGTTCGGTGCAGTTATTATTATAATTGTTTTCATTCAAAAATCACCAAAAATTCAACAAAAAAGTAATATTCTAGAGGGCAGACATGTGGAGTAGGATTAGACTTTTAGTGTAAAGATTTAAGGGATTGCAATGAAATAGCAAATTCCATTTGACAATTCTTTTGACGTTTATTGATGGATTAGTGGAATATAGCGGAATAGCAGAATTAGCATTTTTGACGGAAACGGTGCATGGAATAGGAAATATATTTTCGATTTCACATTTGTGTTTTTGGATTAGTGGAATAGCTGGATTAGTAATTTATATAGTTGATTCGGAATTTATTCTTCTGTGTCTCCCCCCAGATAATATTATGAAAGTTTTAAGCAATTTCAATGCCTCACATACAATTTTTTTGTTTTTAGCTAAAAATCGAACATTTTGTATGAGGAGTCCCCTTATTTCTAAAATTTCTTTTTTTTGTGACACTATGTATAAGAAAATAAGATCCATAAGTTTTCACTGTGATTAGGTTTATTCCCGATGTTTCAGTTTCGATGCGGAAAAGTTAGCTTACGTATGTAAACCTCTTTATCTTTATTCGACTAAAATTTCTAGATTGTTTAAAATGTGTAAAATAGCTTTTGACGCTGTGGATGTACCCACATTTAATGTGAATATATGCCAACTCAATTTCTTAATGAAAATATCAGATATTGGAAGATGCTTTAATAATAGGTATTTGTATCGCTTACCAAATATCGTAGCCCACGAATCCAGTTTTCACATTCCTGTTCAGACAATGCTATAAAAATAAATTTTGAAACAAAAAATATAAGTATATTAAATTTGAATTCTTAGTTAAATTAATGAAAAGCTCATACCTACTACAGAAAGCGAACGTAATTTAAATTCGCTACCGTAATAAACAACAAAGCACTTTGTAAAATCCACGCATTTGCTTTCGTCACTCCACTTTTCAAAATCCTTGGATATTCTACCAACTCGAACCTGTTGTTTCAAAAGAATATAGTATACGTGCAACGGATTTTATTTATTTATTACCTCTTTAATTTCTCGTAAATCGAGAGATCCTTCAAAATTTTGTGATGTTCGATTATAAGATGAATTTACTGATGACCATATCAACTAAAAATACTTTCAATTAGCTTCATCATTATATTAATATGTACCATTCCTTACTTGACGAGTCTCACGGCGTAGCATTAGAGTTTTCTGTTCTGGTCTACGACGGGGGTAGTACTTTGTTATAATTGTACCTCGTTCCAACATACAAACGGTTTGTTCCATTTCACCCAAGCTAGGTAAACTAAGGGTGCTAAAACAACTTTGCTGTTTATTGCCATCTGAGTTTTTGGAAGTCAACATGTTGTCGTTTCTCTTCATAGCCAATTAATTTTTTTGAACAAGTTTCTTTTGGAATTAGAATTGAAATAGGATTTGGGTTTCAATCAGATATATTATATTCTATATCGTTTTTATATAACTTTAACATTTAAAATTTGTTTATTTACTTTCTCTTTAATAATGGTGAACATAATTTCATTAATTATTTTGTTTATAGTTCAACAAGTGGATTTCAAAACTTTTTTCTGTGCGCTACGTGAAGAATCAACTCTCGCCTATTTTTTCGCTAAATTTAAATACTTCTTCATAATTTTATATATTGTTAACTTTTGTTGTTTATTGTGTTTGCAATGACTATTATATACATATATATAAGTGAATGAAATTTTAACCAATCTTTACAACTACTATTAGATATTTATTCTCTGTCAACCTCACTTAAACATGAAAATGTGAAAAACCACAAAATAATACACTTTACCAATTTGTAATACTAATCCATTATTCAATAAGGAGATATATATATAAATGGTATTGTATGTGTTTTTGGCTGTCAAATCAACTTTAGCTGATAACATAACCAAAAATATTTGACACATTTCACCATGCATATTGCGTGACAAAATTCAACTATTACATTTCATTAGTGGCAAGAAATATATTTTGATAAAAAAATAATTTTTGTGTTTAATTTTCCAAGAATTGAGTGAAATGAGATCTGTAGGATATTTAAAACAAAAGGGTATAATTTTACGCCTACTCACATCTTCAAAATTACCAAGGTATCTTACTCGATAAAATTTAACCTCTCAGCACTAGTTTATGGGAAACTAGTTTTCTAAGAAAAAAAAAACATTTCTAAATAATATATTGTATTTTTTTTCACCATTTACCAAAGTGTTATACAATGTAGGCGACATTTTTCAAGCTCGGAAAATGAGAACGTACAATCGCCAGAGATAGATGATTGTCAAATCAAAGCTCTAACGGAGAAAAATAACGAGTTAATGGTATGTGGCATTTAATCTATTATGAAATTACCTCCTAACTATTGTACTGTTTTTAGGATAAGTATAAAAGAGCACTTGCTGATGGAGAAAATTTGCGATTACGTCTGACTAAACAAATCCAGGATGCAAAAATGTTTGGTATTCAATCATTTTGTAAAGATTTATTAGAAGTTGCAGATACACTGAAACAAGCAACAATATCTGTACCAAAAGAAGAAATTAACGACGAAAATCCCCACTTGAAAAATTTATACGATGGATTGATACTGACAAAAAATTCCTTGGACCAAGTATTCAGGCGCCATGGTTTAGAAACTATAGAGCCGTTAAATTCCAAATTTGATCCGAATTTACATGAAGCACTTTTTCAAAAGGTTTGTTTGCTTTCCAAGTTATTATTATTTAATTATTTGGTTTGATCATTTCTTTTCCATCCAAAAGGAATGTAATGATGTTGAGGCTGGAGTGGTTGTTGAAGTGACGAAAATTGGCTATAAACTGCATAATAGGTGCATTCGTCCTGCACTCGTCGGTGTTTCCAGAAACTAGTAACATTATTCTTCAAAGTGATCTTTAGGTCACATAATTAGTTGATATCAATTGCGTTAAATTATATTTGCGTTAAATTAACAATTGAACATAGTTTATATGCAAAATTTCCAATAAAATTACAAATTCCAACGAAAATTCCTCGCTTTATGTGCTTTTTCACTTTTATGCAATACAAAATGTTGACAGCATGATATTAGTTTAATGATAATTGAGGTTAGGTTTGATTACAAAAAAATTGTTGTGTTGATGACAAAATGTACTCGATAAACATATTTCATTTATTTTTCTTTATTACAAAAATACGATTACATACTATAATACTCGTACAGCGGCAAGGCCGCTATTCTGTATATATACGCCTAGTAAAATAACATACCCAAGGAATAATCTGTAATGCAAATTCACCCATTACCAGGTCAAATTTGAACCCGGATTTGTGTGTAGTATCAGATATTTTTACGGTTGCCATAGCGTAACATTCAGGTGTGAATACATGGAAAAGAGGAACGACAATCATTAGTATCAATTGAATTGTATATGAAATATCATTTTTTTAAATTCAAAACTTTACTCACCGTTGTACTGTTCTTATGAACGCACAACAAGGCAACAAGATTTGTGTAACACATATGGTGTCAAGCCTAGCTAAGCTAACTAATCGTTATAATATTTGTTTTATTTGATAATTTATGAATTCAATGCTGCTGCTTGTCAGTTGACATTGTTTGGTGGTCTTCTCAACGAATCAGGCACTAGTACGCCAAACATCCGACAAAGTCCTGTATAATTTGAAGCAAAAACATTAAAAAATGAATAGACTCTATTTTCAATTGATTCATACCTTTGAGCATAATGCATTGTGGATCAGGGCCGGTATTCTAATGCCACTTTCCGATCAATTTGTTCGGAATTATTTCGAAAAACATATTTCTATGAATGAATATTGTTTTGAATAATATTGTAGCACATAACGAGAATAATAGTCGTTATTCATAAGACAAAAAAAAAATAAACAATATTCCACTTATTTTGTTCGGAATTATTCCGACACCTCTTTCAACAGTGGAATTATTCCGACAATATATTGAGCGGACTATTCATTTGAAACTTATATTTTTTTGTCTTTTCAACGTTTGGCGTCAAATATGTACACCAAAAGTACCAAAATATAACTTTAATAGAGCTCTACATTTGTCGCCAAACATTGAAAATATAAAAAAAATTGTTACACACTCAAAATATTAGCTACAGTCAGGCGCTGAATCGGACTGAAAACAATAGAAGTGGTTGTTATAGTGATTGTAGTAATGTGAGTGTTAATATAATTATAACAATAATTTTTATTGTTTTCACTGAGCTGAGTTGTTTATATAAACAAATGATTCCGAACGATTTTTGTGGATTGTTCTAGAATACCGGCCCAGCATCATCATCCTGAACATTCAATGGCCTATTTTTGTAGGTAACATTAACCTGTAGTAACATTAAACGTCCATTCCGAAGTATTTCGTCCATATCCTGATGATTGCCATTGCAAACTCGAAGCTTAATTTCCTTCCGTCCTCTTTGTAAGGCACGTTTGCTAACCGTTGCCACAATCATATCTGGTAGACTAGCGACTGGGTCCGGTAGTCCAGCAATCGGTTTCGTTTTGCAATGCAGTGATGAGCATGTTTGTGATGTTCCCCATTCATCTTCCATTTTCATCACTGAAGTTACTAAGTTTCTTGACGCTCACCAAAAATTTCCGAGATCCTGGACATCTTTTCCGTCTCTTCAAACCAAATGGCCGATTGGGTGGCATTGACGGCATGTTGTTCAAAATCCAGTCGTGAATATTTACAATGTACCATTGCCATTTTGAATAACGCGGTGATGGTGGTCTTCAGATGATTCTTTTCTTCGATATCAAACCATCCAGCTAATTTTTTCGCCTCTTTTTCTCTTCGTTTCTGTCGAGTTTCCCAGTAGAATCACGTGTTTGGTATTGTGAAGTTTTCCTTCAAAATTCAAAATCATATAAACAATAAGTTTCGATTCAAACACATTTCAAATTAGATTTCAAAATATCTCACCTCAACCGGCCGTTCATCAGTTGTTTTCCGGATGTTGTGATGCGTTATGGCCAACCACGTTTTTTTCATTCGGATCGATGCCAATAACGTATTTCTTGCCCACAAGATTGTTCGCCTGTAAGTGCAAATTTTCGTTGCACGCCCGCTCTGGTTTGGTGTACAGTACCGATACGGAAACACTATTGGTCTCGATTTGATGATGGAATTGTTTGGATCGTTTGCCCAATTGGTTGATTTTATCGACGTTGAACAACAAATTCCATAGTCCATCTCGATCATGATCTCTGTAGTATTTTTCGGGGTATTTATTCAGCCGGTTGGTATCAGTATTCAGGAATCTGGGCACCACTTTTAGCTTACTTGCTAATTTTTTATACAAATCTCTCATATCCAATCGCACGTACTTCAAATGATAATCGCATAACGGTACAAGAGCAAAACTGTTTATTTTCCGTGGGCGATTGTTTGTTGGCTGTTGAAATTTCGGATTGTTACGGAATATTTCGTGAATGGTATTCCATTGTGCGGTATCACTGTGATAAGCTGCTATCTGACGTTGAACTTGTCCGAACAATCACAACGATTCAAACCAATGATCTTTTACAAAAAATTTCATGCATTTTTCGCGTTGCCATCCAATTGCGAACAGATCATCCAATAAAATGTTGGCCTTTTCTATTCTTTCCACATTACCATTTGTCAAGTCGTTGGATCGATATGGTAACATTTTGACATTTCTGATGTCGATGCCATCAAATCTCGGTCCATAGATGTTGTGATTGCGATACCAGCATCGCATTCGAAAGAATGACTCAAGTCGATCTTCACACCAAGTGGTAAGACCAGTTTTCGTATTTACGATGTGCTGTTTGACAAAATAACGAAAACCATTCTCCAACTTTTCCTTGCTTGGCCATTCGAACTGTTCATCACTGAAGTTTTCGACCATGAACCGAAACTCTGGCGGTATGGGATTTCGGCTATTATTATTGTAAACATTTTCGGCCAATACAGCATTGAAGCAATCGAAGAAGAACTGTCGACGATCCCGTCGCAAAAAGAATTGACGATCTTCATTATCGAGTGCTTCATTCACCTTGAATAAAATCAAAAGTGAGGCCAATGAGGCAACTTCCGTCATTTGAAGACTGCGCTCAAACAATATTTGCGTCACAACTGCTGCATGCTCGGGTCGAAGTATTGTTTGCAATCCACATTTTATTGCAACGAAATTATTTTCTTCTTCTCTTTCGTCATCGTATACCGGCGAATCGTTGTTATCTCTTTTTCTTTTCATTCTCGAAGAACTGATACAAATAAACGAAAATAAAAAAATACACACAAATTTAGAAAAAAAAATGCACCAAATATAGCATAGATCACAAACACAATAAGATAAAAACACTTCTATCACAAATCAAATGAAACAGTAATCAAGAACGCATTATAAATATCACGTCTTACCTCAACAAAGTGACTCTGTATTCTAAATCGAATGATGAAATTTATTTCCAATGTGACATCAAATATTTTCCCGATCGAAATGTTGTTGAAATATTCACAGTAAATTTTATCAACACTCTGTTATTTCGAAACTAAAACAAAAATGAACACAAAACCAACTGTGAATATATCCATTCCTCAGCGAACAGCGTTCCGAACACACAAAATCGTTGAAATTGAAATAACAATAAAATCAATTGATCGCCCAAACCACGCTACAAACACTCACATCTAATTCTCAAGAAATCCTCTTAAAAACAAAACAAAGTTTTATTGTAAACAAAATCGTTTGGTGCGATTGTAGTTTCAAACTGACACGATGCGAGCATATTTTTAATATAAATGAATATCGTTGGATTTGGTTTGACACATATACACCGCGCCAATCGAAAAATGTCAGAAAGATGTTAGTTGCATCTCGAACATTGAAAATACTAATTCCACAAATAAAGAAAATTAAATGCAATAAATGACGTATAAAAAAATAGTTCTTCTGCAGAGTTTTAAATTAAATTATGCAAATCTCTTTCCTAACAAATTGTTAATTTTTTTATTCGAGCGTAAGATTTAGATTTTCAATTTAAAACCGAATGGTTGTGTTCACATTATGTTGTCAAATGAAATATTATTGGAAGTGAAAGAAACAAGTGGATCCATTCCATTGGAATTGCATATAATCTCCGTTCCATTTGACACGAAAATGACCACCAGAATGGGCCAAAACGTTACATTTTTCAACGTTAGAATGTCCTCAAAACATTACAAATTCGTTAAATCGAATTATTTTTTTCTCTTTGAGCTCATCCACGGTTGGTCTGAAACTAAGTTTTCGTAGGAGAAATCTTTTCTTTTCCTCCTTTTGTTTCTTTTCTTCAGCTGGAGATTGACTTTTTAAAATATTGCGCTCAATTAATTCTTCCGGGGTAGGTCTCATTGATAGTCGTCTTATCAATTTTGCACCAATTGCCTCTTTTGATTCTTGTCTTTCATTCTCACTTTGCATATGTAAAATATTTCTATTAATCAATTCCTCCATGTTTGGTCGCAGTGACAACTTCAATGAAAGGCTTTCTTTTCGTGCTAGTTTAGTTGTGGATTTATCACTCATAGGAGTATCATCGCGAAACAATATTGGTCCATCACTGTGATCACTATCAGTACTTGTATCTTCGCGAATTACAAAAGGATGAGAATTTTCTTTATTCTCTAAATTGTTCGATACTCCCAAGCCAAAGCGAACAGGGTGGTTTCTATTGTAATTGAAAAAAAAAATCATTATGAATATAAAGAAAACAAATTCACAAATTGAATGAATTTTTTAATTTAGTTTTCACAAGTGTAGACTTAAATCAATACTAATAATAACTGCACCTAACAGTGTTCTTTCGCCTTGGTGATTTACAAATATGTGATGATTTGGCGTATGTGTCATATCTATTTTTTTTTTTTGCAAATATTCAATTTTTGGCCATTTTTGATCACAGGTGGTATACGGGGTGTTTTTTAACAGAATCACGTCATTCTTAGCTTATTGGAGAAATGCATGTCATGCTTTGATTTTTTCCTCATAGATCGAAAGCGCACTCAATTTTGAGCCGATATGCACATTTTGAAACGACAACATTCTTTTATTTGGTGAAAATTGGTAAAGGTGTGAACTTGGGCGGCCACCTATATTTTAATATCTTAGTAATCAACTGCAATGTACTAGGTTTTTACTTTGTTTGTTCACTTTGACAACTGATTTTTATATAATTCGGACCGGAGGAATTCAATGGTGGTAACCGTTTTGAGAAATTAGTTCAATTTTTTTAGATTTTTCGGCTTGAAACCATTCTTTTGGAATAATATTTCGAAAAAATTGGTTTTTATTCGATTGCAATGAAAATTGGTATTTGGGGGTTTTTTGATAAGGGAAAACCGAATATGACATTTATTTTGCAGTAGAATTCGTTCATGGTACATTTCCTATACAAAAATTTTCATCTTTTGCCATTTTGAAAATATTGACGGTAACCAAAATCAAATAAAAAACCTCTATCGAGGTGAAGAACGAGTGACGAAACCAAAATTTGAAACACAAAATTTCTGATATCAATTTTGTGACGAAAATAGTTGGTAGATATATTTTCTGTGTACTGTGAATATAAACTTAATATACATTTGTTTCAAAACGGTCGATATTTTATTCAATTTTGTTTGGCTAGTCACAGAGCATATCTACAGAGTCATTGGAGTACATTTTGGCCTATAAAATACTTCAAATGTTAAAAGTAACATTTTTTGTCCTTTTTGGCCATTTTTGGCTATATTCGCGCTATCAAAGGCCATATCGTGCAGACAAGAATTTTTAGGGATATAAGCTATGCGGCATTTTAAAGCTTAGACTTGGGCCTAAAAATCGGTGAAAATTTCAAGTGACCATCAAAGGCTAGTTTTCGAGCTAATGACCATTATGTGTCCGTCCAAACGGTAACTTTTTGGTTTTTGGCCAATTTGGCCACTCCAAATTGAAATTTTTGGTCCTTAAATGGCTTTATTCGATAGCTCACTTCAAGACCTTTCCAATGATATGCATATGTCTGGGGGGGTGTCAAGTTATGGCGCTTCGGTGACCATAGGAAAAAAAGTCGAAAAGTGACTTTTAGAGGCCGGCCATGGCCAACATGGCGGCCATATCGAAAAGTGCCGGAACAAAAGTCTTAGTTTTGTGTGTACTTTAATCAAAGTTTCAAAAAGATCAGAATCGAGTACGCAAATCGCGGACACACATACCAAATGATTTTTATAGGAAAAACATATGAAATTTTTAAAATAATAAATTTTTCGAACGGATTGATCGAATTCGACGGTTAGGGGGTCGTTAGAAAGGTATCGAGCTCTAGAATTGTAATATCGATGTTTCAGGGGTCAACGACCTCATTTAGTGCCATCTATGGCCGTAGAACTGAATTTTGACCCTTTTCTTGAAAGGACCATATTTCGAAGACGGGTGGACCAATTTTCGAACTTTAATATTTTTTCTTGATCTATGGCCCAAGGGCTTTCCAACCATTCACCAATCGCGGCTAAAGGCCTTCCAGGTTAGAATTTGGTAATTATTTGGACATTACGTGTATATAATGTGGTTTCGTCACTCGCGCGAACTGCCGTCCGCTGTGATACTATCAAAACTATTGATATAAGTAAAAAACACTTCTTTCGAAGTTCCCAGTGTGACGCAATACTCTAAATCCAAAAATGGTCTGAAATACATTTTCAGTGACGCGTTCACTCAAATATGTACAAAATGTTATTATTGCGTCGCCTCTTTCGCCGCAAAAAATATGGAAACGTACACTCTTTGTGAAACGTACACTTTTTGATAACTAAACCGTTCTCCCATTTATTTAAAATTGTATATACTTGCAGCGGCTTAGTATTTTTATGGACATATTACAAAAAATAAAAATTGAAAATAATTGAAAATTTATATCAGACCATTTTTAGATTAGTATTGCGTCACACTGGGAACTTCGAAAGAAGTGTTTTTTACTTATATATTACATTTTAGATCTAATAATAATAATATATTATTTTTTTATCTATTTTAACGTTGAAAAATGTTACGTTTTCACCCATTTCGATGGTAATTTTCGTGTCAATGGAAAGTTGATTATATGCATGTATTTTATTTACATCTAGTCAATGATATTTTTTCAAAGCAAAATATGAACACGGATCAGAATAATACAGAAGTGTAGACATTTAGAAGAGAAGAAACGCCAGCATTGTGTAATTCGAAACCAAATTTTCGCTTTATCGAATGTATGGTGTATTTGTATCAGAGCATATACTAAGCATAGATATATATCCTGGATATTTTGTCAGTATCCGATATTCATTGGAGCCAGACTTTGAAATAGAGTAAAAACAATAGAAGTTATTGTTATAGTGATTGTAGTAATGTAAATGGTTTTATACTTAGACCTATAACATTCACTTCTATTGTTTTCACTCCATTATAATGGGTGGCTGCGATAAATATCGGATACTCACAAAATATCCCGGATATATATCTATGCTCGGTATATGCTCTGATTTGTATTTTTCACTGAGTAAACACTCTGTGAAGTTATACATTTCGGCTGGACTGCATACATCTTTGTAAAAATCCGCTTTTGTTAAACAGTAAGCCACAATGTATATTGTATATAGCTCTATCACTCTCTTTCAATACTTCTTTAATAAGTCATACTGTGTATGTTCTTGATTGTGTGCACACCAAATTCAAATCGAAACCGAATATTGTCACATTTCGTTCACAATTTGACGTTTCACAGTAATTTTGCATACTCAAGAGACAAGTCGTGATCGTAAATTTCTTTCATATAAGTCGAATTGTTGTGTGTGTTTGCAAAGAATAATGGATTATTCCCACCAAATTTTGCGTTTGACTTTGTTTTATATTGCAAACAACAAAGCATTCACAAACCTGAACAGTAAATATTCCAAATCAACTGGAAATTCGTTCGGCGGTTTTGATGCGAGAAGATTTAATGCGGAATAATGATGACGTTCAACTTCGGTCATTGTGTAATTTGGATCGCATCGATTTTAAAATGTGCTTTGATTTTAGTTTCATTTGGAAAACCGATTTCTTTGTAGTGTTTTGTTTGTTTAGATTTAGTGTGCTTGTGTTTTTTTTTGCATCGTCATGTGTTTATAAGTTTGCGTTCAACGGAGAATATGCGACGAATTTTGCGAAGCATTCAGAAAGAGAACATCGATATTGAATTAAACTATTGTTAATTTGTTTTTGTGCAGTGTTTTCCAATGGATTCGTATACCATCAGAATTATTGTTATTTTAGATAAATCTCGTTTCGATTTTTGTCTTCGATATGAATTTGGCCGTCCATTTTCCGATTGATTTTGTTTTCATTATTTAATATTGACAGAACTTCCGGAAAGTACGAAGCAGCAAATTTTATTCTCACAATCACATTCATTAATAAAAACAGTATAAAAGCAAAGCAAATATTGAGTAGTTCTTCAGAAACTATTCGAATTTTGATGAGGATGAACATCACCATGAAGTCAACATAGTTCAGCGAATTTAAATCGAATACAATCACAAAACGCCAATTTCTGCATTCAATTTAGTGATAATTATCTCGTAATATTCGGAAAATTTTCGGTAATTGTGAATGATCGATTGAGCCATGAGTCGAACAAGATCAAAAGACGATCAATTAAACAGGTGAGCGGTGTTTTCCTTAATATTTATTCTGTTTTACTTTTCCGCACACATAGTGTAAGGTGAAAAGTATTGTAATCGGTCAAAATTTTGAAAACTTCACAAAACATGTTTTCTAGACGTTTCTGAGGTCAGAGAACCCGAATCAGGCCGTTTTGAGCATTGTTTATGTTAATCTGTACGTCGTACGTTGTACGTCGTACGTTGTACGTCACTTGAACACTCAAAAATATGTATTGGGGGGTTTTTTGGTACGAGAAAACCAAATCTGAGGTTAGTTTTGAGATACAATCAATTTTTGATACAGTTTCCTTGAAAAAATCACAAAAAATTGAATTTTTGTATGGGAGCCATGCCTGTATGCTACCTTAATGACGTGAAACTTTGCACAGTCTATTTTTTACACAAAAAAATAACATTCTGAAAGTTTGAAGAGATTTCAATCAAAATTAGGGGTACCTCCCATACAACATTTTCAGTTTTTGGCTCAAAAACGAATATTTTGTATGGGAGGTACTCTTAATTTTGGTTGAAATTTCTCCAAACCCTCCGAATGTTATTTTTTTGTGAAAAAAAAAACCTGTACAAAGTTTCATGCCATTAAGGTAGCATACAGACATGGCTCCCATACAAAAATCCAAATTTTTTGTGACTTTAGTTATGAAAAGTGTTTCAAAAATAATTTCTATGGCAAAATTAACGTCAGACATATTTTTTTGAATGTCATTGAAAAATAATTCCATTGCTTAAAAAAAAGAAACGTTTGTGGTGTACTGCGGTTAAACAGTGCGGAAAAGTTCGTCTTACGTTCGTAAGACCATTTATTTTTTTTATATTGGTTTTTCGACACGATTTTTAGATTGTTGTGTGAACTGTTTTTTTTTTTTTTAATAATTATGTATGTTTCCCATGTTTTTGTTCCATTTACTAAATCTAAGCGAGAGGAGAACTGACAATGACAAAGACATCAAGAATCTTGTGGTAATAAAACAAGGACTCAAGTCAATCATCCGAAAAGAATATCGCGACAAAGTGATTCAGTTTTTGGATTATCGAAGCCACCGAATAACACTGATTTCATCACTGGCATCATTGTTGGCATTGTACAAAATTCGAGAAGCCATCGATGATGAGAACCGACAATTTCATCAAATGCTTTAACGACGTTTTGGCCAAAAACGTCGACGATGAGGAACTAATGTCGCCAGCTTTTCGTAACATTGTCGAGGCTAACATCGGTGAAGAAGATTTTGCAAGGCCCGATAAAGAATGCTTGGGAAATGATATCAATTATTTCTACCAAGATCACATTCGAAATTCCCAGACCAATCTCAACACTCATTGTTCAGAACATGTTGAATCGTTTTTTCAAATGAAACGCTGGTATTATAACATGAATATCAACTGCCATCAATACTATGGATCAAAATTCGACGGCATCGATATACGAAACGCAAAAGTGTACGCGACTAGTAACAAAGATCTGACACATGGTGATGAAGAGAGAACAAATAAGATGAACATTTTATTGTATGAACTGGAAAGAATCGGTTGGCGGTGTCAAAAAGTTCATAATGGACAATTGGTTCCGGTCACTGTCAATGGATTAGTGCTGGAGAAATGGCACCAAATCGGCCATGGGGCATAAAGAAGCGGAAAAGATGCCCGGGAACGCGTAAATTGGCAATCAGTTTCAAGAAACAAGAGCACACAAAGGTCAATTTTCAAGATGAATGGGGTACATCAATAATGTGTGCCAATTGTCACGAGCGATTTCCAAGAAACACCAAATCGTATCGCTTCAAAATTTGTCGAAATTGCATACCAAAACCGATTGTTGGACTACCACCGATAATTGTGACGAATTTGAGCAGACAAGAGCTTAAGAAAGAGCGAATTGTAGAGAGAGCAATCAATCCAGATCGTGGGAACATCGAGCGTTTAGTGCCAAAGATAAAAGTTATCTTCAAAACTTGGTCATTAACTCGAGAATACCATGAATTGGGTGATGCTGCACCAGAAGACATGATTGAGCACGTAGTCATTTGGCACCGTGACATTGTTGCCGCAAAGAATATTTTATTCAAAGGTATGTGCATAATTGTATATTGTATTAATATTTAATTGCGAATAGAGAGCAGAGCGTTAAGTGTTCAGTGTTCATATTAATTTATTAATGTTTTGTGTTTGTTTCTGATTTTATAGGAATATGTCGTCTTTTTGGCATACCATTGCCCGATTCGTTGAAGAGACCTGACAATCCACACCATGCGACCAATGTCAACTGATAGCAGCATAAAATCAACAATAATCATAAGAAGAATATTTTAACAATTTTGTTAGTTACTAGGCGTGAAAAGTTTAAATCCAAGGATTTTTATTGTACCCTTGACCGCAGTAGGGGTCCCTATTTATGGCTGTGCGGAATATAAAAGAACCCGTAGGTGAGTACTTTATTGAATTGATAGTTTAGTTTTGCATTCAATCTAACTGAATTGTTTTTTTCTTTTTTTTCCTTTCCATTTTGACGGTAAAATTGACTGAAACTACACACAAATCCAACCCCAATAGCTTGGATTGCGCTTTTCACATTGCCAAAAGTATACGAAAAAAACCACCAAATCATTGACATTAATTTACAAAAAATTTCAAATGTAGGTTTGTGAATAGGTCAGAATAAAAATCCGACTTGCATGCAGAGTGCAAAAGTAAAACACAGAGTTTTTTTTACATAGTTTATTTGTTGTAATACAACAACAATTCTATGTAAAAAAAACACTCTGTGTTCTACTTTTATACTCTGCGCACAAGGCGAATTTCTATTCTTACCCATTCAAAAAATTAATTAACTTTTTTTTAGGTTGAAGCGTATTATTTGAATAATTATTTTGATTTTTTAATGCTGTCTTAAATAAATCTGAATTCTGAATTATAATGTTTAAAAAATGCATTTATTCATTTTCCTTTTTTTGAAATTATAAAATACAATCAACCAACATTTACCGAAAGTAAATTAAAAAACATTGTTGTCAATTTACGTCTGTAAATATTAAATGTGTGTATATGTGTGTATGTGTTTGTATTTTTTAAAAAAATTGAAAATAAAAAGTGACATATAAAATGATATATCACATTTGACATTTCACATTTCACTTTTTCCATATGAAGTAATGTGGAATTTGAATTATGTGATGTCTTTTAGAGACATTAACGCAGTTGCACACGATGCAATTAATTTTGATAGTTTACGTAACATAATCACAAGTATTTGATCGTCACGGCTTATCTGCTTAGAGCCAGATAAAAACGAGTCACGGCCTATGGAATCTGAAAAAAATATTGGATTAATGATAATTTTTCCACAAAATCGAAAAATGGTTCGGTTTACCTTGTTAAATGACGGCTTCCCTCATGTACAGCCATTTCCGAGCTTTTAAATTCATTCAACTCCTTTCGAATGGCTGCTTTATCTTTTGGGGTTAATCTTGTCCATGGTTTATCCGCACGTCGATCGTAATCATGTGCTTGAGTCACCTCAATATAATCGTTGAATCGAATTATTTTTTTCTCTTTGAGCTCATCCACGGTTGGTCTGAAACTAAGTTTTCGTAGAAGAAATCTTTTCTTTTCCTCCTTTTGTTTCTTTTCTTCAGCTGGGGATTGACTTTTTAAAATATTGCGCTCGATTAATTCTTCCGGGGTAGGTCTCATTGATAGTCGTCTTATCAATTTTGCACCAATTGCCTCTTTTGATTCTTGTCTTTCATTCTCACTTTGCATATGTAAAATATTTCTATTAATCAATTCCTCCATGTTTGGTCGCAGTGACAACTTCAATGAAAGGCTTTCTTTTCGTGCTAGTTTAGTTGTGGGTTTATCACTCATAGGAGTATCATCGCGAAACAATATTGGTCCATCACTGTGATCACTATCAGTACTTGTACCTTCGCGAATTACAAAAGGATGAGAATTTTCTTTATTCTCTAAATTGTTCGATACTCCCAAGCCAAAGCGAACAGGGCGGTTTCTATTGAAATTGAAAAAAATAAAATCATGATGAATATAAAGAAAACAAATTCACAAATTGAATGATTTTTTTAATTTAGTTTTCACAAGTGTAGACTTAAATCAATACTAATAATAACTGCACCTAACAGTGTTCTTTCGCCTTGGTGATTTATTCAAAATAAATAAATGAATATAATATAAATTAAATAATTTCCATCAACCATATAATATTTGTTTTTTGTTTTAACTTCTTAATCATTTCTCAATAGAAGAGTTAAAAAGTCCAATGTATTTTCAACCTTTTCATTATCATTGAAATGTGTTTTGAATAATTTTCAATTCTAAAAATTCAAAGATTATTTCATTTCAATTGTAAATTTCACCTGGCATATGCAAAAACGATCATAAAATTATATATTTAGTAGCTTAACTCTAGTATGTTCACACCTGCATATCAATTTTTATTTATCATATTGTGTGTGCTCTTGTAAACATTTTGTCGAATTTTCAACTTTTGGTATGGTAGCGAATATCATCAGTCAAAAAGTATGTTTATTTTATTAATACTACACTACACTGTAATAATAAAAAAAAATCCAAATGAATTAAAATCAAAATAGCTGACTTTTCCGCATGGAACCGACATTTTGGGAATAAACTGAAAATATGCTCTATGTTTGGTTGCAGTAACTTAAATCGCCGTAGAAACTTGTGAATATTATTTTCTTATCAATATAAATAAACTCACCAAGTTTAAAGAAATTTCAATCAAAAATATGTAACTTTTTTTTGGCTCATAAACGAAAATTTTGTATGGGATTCCTAATATGCATTGAAATTTCTTTAAACTCTCGAAATGTAATTTTTCTGTGGAAAAAACAACATGTGCAAAGTTTCACGTCATTACGCAAAGGTATGGCTCCCATACAAAAATATTTTTTTGTGAATTGTTGTCCGAAAAATCTGTGAAAAATTGATTAAAATGATATTCTTTCAATTTGAACGCTGAAAGAATGTGAAGTGGGGGGTTTTTTGGCACGAGAAACGCGAATCTGATGTTAGTTTTAAGATGCAATCAATTTTTCACAGACTTTTCATACAAAAATCCACAAAAAAATTCATTTTTGTGGTACCGTAATGATGTGAAACTTTGAACAGGCTAATTTTTGATTGAAGTTTCTTTAAACTTGGTGTGATTATTTATTTTGATAAGGAAATAACATTCATAAGAATTCAGGGTGATTTAAGTTACTGCAACCATACATAGACCATAATTTCGGGAATAATCGTGTTTTCTACATGGAATAGTGTTAATTTTCATGTCATTACAATATCATGCAGGTATGTATGCAATACAAAAATCAGCATTTTTTGTTATTTTTGTATGGAAAGTGTTTCAAAATAATTCTTATGATTCAGATTGAGAAACCGATAAAATATTATTTTGAACTGTCTTAATTAAATACGCATGTACCACCGTACGAAAATGTTCGTCTTACTCGTATAAGACTCTTCATTTATTTACTAAATTCAAAAAAAGTCAAATGTGAATATACTCAAGGTATGCTCATTCAGTTTTATGCTTAAATCCTAATACGTACTAAATATTCAAAACTCACCCAATGGAACTAGAATTATTGTCTTGACGAACAACTAATGGCCTGTTTGATATATCTCCACTACCTAAGGACAACATAAAAAAAAGGAATATTGGGGATTATTAATCGCAAAAGAAAGTGAATTCATATGTTTAAGAACAACATATAGACCACAAATGTTCAACAACATACATAAATTTGAGATTTGGTAGTTGATCGCGATTCTGGAAGAAAAAATCTAGAAGAAAAATAATGGGTCAGACTGGCACACATACACAGCATCATTGTATTTGTGTGTAAGGTGTTTGTCAATCACAAATGAACAATTTGGTAAACGCAATGCACACCCGAATGTGACATTCGCATGTCTCGCTCACTCATTCTATGTTCATCAACGTTGCATTTGTTGCACTGTGTTGAACTCACTCATATGTATTTAAATGTTTAAATCGGATCGGCGTTGTGTTAAACACAGCCGATATAGCACAGAAAATGCCTTCGAAAATTTTGCCTTCTATGCAACAATATTGTTATTTGATTATTGTAATGATGTCAACGGCGATTTATTTGTTACTCGCTCATCATCATTTCTACCAAGATTTCTACGCTTTTTGCTATCAATACCAAATCTCAATTTTTTTGCACTCTGTTTGTTATCGCAACTCCAGATCATTTGCTAATTGTTTTAAAATTAAAATTAATTTTCATTTCTACTTTCCAACATTCTTAAAAGCTTTGAATATTTAGATTTATATTTAGAATTATCGAAATTATAGATAGCAATTCTTAAGCAATGAAATAGTATCTACTTTTTTTTTTTAATGCAGATTTTTTTGGAACAGCATTCAACATTGGCTCCATGACAGGAATCTCTTCAACTCGCAAAGTATTTAAATTTTGTTGCATCATGAATTCCTCCTCTGAATCTGCGTCATCTGGATATCTATACAAATTTGAATCCTCTTCTTCTTCATAGTCGTATTCATTATAATCCATTTGTGGTGGATGCAAAAGACTCATATTTGTATTATGGGATAAATTTGAATTATGGGATTTTATAGTATGGTGTCGACTAGCCAATATTGTCGGACTTGGTGTGGAAAACATAGGTGGAGGCGGAATGGGTCCAATTTCTGACAATGGTATGGGTGGCTCTGGTAACTCAGATAGAACAATATGGCTCTGTAATTGATGATGGATTTGATGATCGGAGTTGCCAGCTGAAATGTGCTCTTTTCCTGACTGGCAGTTCTTTTCAACTATTATTATGGAGAGAACAAAAAATAATATATATATATAGTACTTCATTTTAATCAAATAGTATAAAATACTTACTATAATTTCTACGAGATATTTTATTTGAACCACCACCAAGAGACGTTGGACGTTCTAGTTTTGGAGTTGATAAATGCTGACTCGCTCCTCCACTCAGTGATGATAAAATTGCTCCTTTACATAATTGTTCATTGTTTGTAATTAAAACATTGCTTTCATTTCCACAATTATTTAAAACATCAGTCTTGTCCTTTCTCATTTCTGGAAATAAGTAAATTCAAAATTAATTTTTGTAACAAAATCGATATCAGATATTTTATGTTTCAATTTTTTTGTCACTCATTCTTTATTTCGGTGAATTTTTGGTTTAATATAATTAATTTAATTGTAAGTAAACTTTTCCGAGATATTATCGAAATAAGTGTATGAAAATAATATTTAAAAAGAAAAACAATTCAAATGTATAGGAAAAAAGGCCATACTAATAGACACCAGCCGCCAGCTCGCAACTGGCAGCACCAATTAATCTCAGCACAAACTTATCTGCGCATGAAAAATACTCTACGCAGATAATTATCCATTCACAAAATGTGAATGGTTTAAGAACAAAAATATCGGAGTTTGCAGCTGAGATAATGGTTCAACATTCGTCGATTTATTACATGCTACGTGAAACTCATTTAAGTGATGCAATCAATTCTGTCAACGTTTTTCCACCAATGTACGAGGTCTTTAGATGTGATCGTTCATCACTCACAGCACGGAGGTGGAGCACAACAAACTGAAGTCAGTTTGCATCGGAACGGGTGACCATTTCGGAGCTGAACAAATTTGGGTAAAGGTAGCCGGCATGAAAAAGAACATCTTTTTGGTTGAATTATATATTCGACCTGATTCAACACTCAAGGTGTATGAAAACAACATGTATGCCTTGAAAGAAGTCGCATCGAAATTGAATACAAATCATGTTTTGATTGTGTCCGGAGACTTTTATCATTCGAAATTGATTTGGTTTGTTGATGAAAATGAGGACCCAGACATTGCAATTGCTATCAATGCAGCCAGCGAAAAAGAGAAGATAGTGCTGGATACTTGCTATGAACTGGGACTTCACCAGATTAACAAGAACTACAACCAACATGGTCGTATGCTTGATTTAATCTGGACAAATGATGTTGAGTTGCTTCAAAGCTTCATAGGTGACTTTCATTTGTTGAATTTTGAAAAGCATCATAATGCTATTAGTATACGATATAAAGAGCCAATCATAAAGACAACTGAAACAATACATACATATCGAGAACATACATTTGAATGAAAAAGCAAGCGATCAATTAACAATTGCTAGTTTTTTTCCAAAACACTTTGGCACCGCTTACAGTTCTTTAGAAGGTGATCTGCGATACGACAGCTCGGAAATAGAAAAAATACGTAATATTTGTTCTAAAATATCAATGAGCGAAATAACCGAGGAGCTTGTAGGTCAATATATAAGTATGCTGCCAGATGATCTTGTCTGTGGTCCTGATGAAATTCATCAAGCATTGTTTGAATTCATTACAGGAGCCAATATCAACACTGTTAAAGGAATCACTTGAAACTGCCACTGTACCGCAGATATGGAGAACGTACTTTGTCAGACCAATTTACAAGAACGGCGATAGAAACAACGTTCAAAGTTATTGCGTTGTTGCTTTACAGTGCATTACGTCAAAAATTCTAGATTCGATCGTCACAGGCCATCTCAATCTATATTTGAAGAACATAGTACACGAAAGTCAGCATGGTTTCATCAAGAACAGGTCAACGATTTAGTAGAATTTACTTCAAAAACGATTATTAACATGAGAAGAAGACATCAAACAGACGCCATCTATTTGGACATAGCCAAGGCCTTTGACTCGGATAACTTAAATTTACTTATTCAAAAACTTGAAATCATGGGATTGAATGAGCAGCTGTTGAAATGGATCAAATCTTACTTGTCTGGTCGCAGAAAAATTGTAAAGATTGCAGATATCAAATCTAACCCAATCGAAGTTACTTCTGGGACAGGTCAAGGATATCCCATTGGCGCTATTTTGTTCATAATGTTTGTAATTGATCTACCTTTCTTCGTGACAAATTCTACCATACTTTCATTCGCTGATGATACAAAAATTTCAAAATGTATCACCTCAACAGATGACTGCATTAATCTTCAAGTCTTTATAATAAGGGACTTGGGAGTGTTGCTTGATGTGCAAATGAATTTCAAATCACACATTGAGCATGTCACGGCTAAAGCCAAATCAAGACTGGCTTGGTTAAAGTTCTACAGCAAGGATTTCGTCGATCCATGGACAATTAAACGCCTTTATTTTACATTTGTACGGCTGGTAATAAAAGAGACTTTAAGCAGAAAAAATCTTAAAAGTGTCTCATAATTTGTATAGGATTTACATAAGATGGAGACGGTTTAAAAAAACTTAAAGTCACTTTTATTTTCAGCCGATCATTTGTATTACCAATCATCGAATATGGATCGGAAATATGGAATCCACACTACGACAATATGTGCAAAAGAATAGAGTCAATACAAAAACAATTTTTACTTTATGCCCTAAGGAGAATGAACTGGGATGGCTATAGACTTCCAAAATATGAGCATAGACTGCTGTTTCTACAAATGATTACGCTGGAGGACAGACGCAAGATGGCGCAAGTGTCTTTCATCTTCAAAATTATTAATGGAGATATGAAGTCAACTCGTATAGCAAACAGTTTAAATTATTATGATTCAGCGCATAATACCGCTTTTGATATACCGATTAGAAGAAGCGATTACACGAAGTATGAACTAATTAATTACATGCTTACTACATTCAATGATTATTATACGAAAAAAATACCAAACAGTGATACTACTTTAATTGATTTAGAAGTAAATTGAGAAATATTTGAAAGAAAATAGATGTATTGTAAACATGAATGGAATCTTTTTATAATAATTATTATTAATCTCATTCAAAACTGCTTGATGCAAGAATTTAATTATATTGTATTTATTTAAATTATTTTGAATAAACCACCAAGGCGAAGGAACGCTGTTCGGTGCAGTTATTATTATTATTGAGTCAATACAAAAACAATTTTTAATATATGCTCTGAGGAGAATGGCCTGGAACGATTTTAGACTGCCAAAATACGAAAACAGGCTACTATTTCTGCAGATGATTACTCTTGAGGAGAGACGCAAGAGGCGCAAGTGTCTTTTATTTTCAAAATTATTCACGGAGATTTAAAGTCAACTTATGTTTCAAACAGTATGAAATATTACGATCCAGCACATGATACCAGAGCAACACCACTATTTGATCTACCAATTAGGAGAACTGATTACACAAAATATGAGCCAATAAATTATATGCTTAGAACATTCAACGAATTTTATATCAAAAAATTGCAAAACAGTGATAAAAATTTAATTGATTTAGAAGTAAATTTATCAACAGTAAAACTGAGAATAGAGAATTATTTAAAGCAAAACAGATAAATAAAAGATATTTGTTATGGAAAGTAGAAATTTTGAGCAGTTGGAAAATTGATTTATGAAATTTGTATTATTATTTACATGAAAGGAAAGAAACAATAATTTTTTATATTTTCTCTCAAAAATGCTTGATAAAAATCAAATTGTATTATATTACCACCAAGGCGAAGGAACGCTGTTCGGTGCAGTTATTATTATTATTATTATTATTATTATTATTATTATTATTATTATTATTGTTGTTAATTACTAACTCTCTTTTTGCGAAAACTTTCTCTCTTTTAATTCAAACAAAATATTTCAAAATACTCTCCTTTATAATTTTTTTAATGTGATGTGATCTACTCCTCTTTCGATATTTACGCAATCACCCAGAGACATACTCTTATTTTGAAATATTCTAGCACTAATAAGAGGTAAATGTGTCTTGTAAACTTACCTGTACAGTTGACATTGGCAAAACGTTGTTGCAGTTGCTGGTGTAGTGCCTGTTGATGGGTCAATGATTGCCCAATTTCATATGCTGATTGAGAGTGTGGAACTAGGCTATTGTTATTTTGACCGATTTGATGCTGCACCGACTGAGATGAAGGCACATTAATTGTTGATGATGCGGATGTATGGGTTGTATTATTTGAACCATTGGCTAGCACAAAAACAAATTTATAACGTTTTAATATTTTTTTTTTTTATTTATGCAATGAATGCATTCTTCGATGCGAATGACACTTTGGCAGGAATGAATCGAATAGATGACCTCGAGAATGCATTCCAAGTTTTTGGACATGTTCTACACGAAGCGATCGATTATTTTGTTCCGAAAATCACCGTACAAAAAAGCACTGATCCACCGTGGTACACAAAACCATTGAAGCACCTGAAAAATGTCAGAAGAAAGGCATACAAACGTGCAAGGGAATCTGGCAACTTTGACGAATACAATGCCATCACCGATTCGTTCCTGCAATTGCAGGGCCAGCTTTTCAAGTCGTATATCAGCCGTATACAATCGCAAATCAGAGCAAATCCAAAACATTTTTGGAGATTTGTGAACGACAGAAGAAAAAGAAGCGATATTCCGGCTATTGTTGAATACAACAATGAAATTGCGGACACTGACACATCGAAAGCCGAATTATTTGCTGATTTTTTCGAAAATCAGTACACACGAAGCGACATTATCAATTTGGATCAATTGTTAGGTGAATGCGAAGACGTATCATTTGACATTGACATATCTGAAGTCGAAGTGTTGGAGGCATTGCAATCGGTCAACGTGAATAAAGGAGCCGGCCCGGATGGTATATCACCGAAACTGTTGAAAAATTGCGCGCACACATTGTCGAAACCATTAACAGCCTTATTCTGTAAATCACTACATCAAGGATGTGTTCCGGCAACATTGAAAAATTCAAGAATTGTGCCAATATACAAGTCTGGTAAAAAGAGCAACGCGTCGAACTACAGGCCAGTAGTTATAATACCGACAATAGCCAAACTTTTCGAACTTGTTGTGTATAACAAAATCAGCACATTTGTTAATTCGAAAATCTGCCACAATCAACATGGATTTGTGAAAAATAGATCAACATCGACAAATTTGTTGCAGATGGTGAACTTCACGATCGATTCTATGATCAAAAAATGTCAAACGGATGTGCTATATACTGATTTCGAAAAGGCTTTCGATCGTGTAAACCATATTAAATTGTTGCAGAAGCTGGTGAGATTTGGATTCGGCCGACGGCTTGTCAAATGGTTCCATGGATATATGACAGATAGGACACAGTTTGTTGGAATCGGTGAACGAAAGTCACGAACTTTCACTGTATCTTCTGGAGTACCAGCGGGAAGTATTTTGGGACCTTGTCTTTTCATTGTTTTTATTAACGACATTGTCGAAATCGTGTCAAATGCACTTGTTTTATTATTTGCAGATGATTTAAAATTGATCCGCACCATACAATCGCCCATTGATGCCATAATTTTTCAGAATGCCATTAATCAATTGAGCGACTGGTGTACTAAAAATAGCTTACATTTGAACCTGAAGAAGTGTTTCGTTATGACATATTCGAAAAGCGGAAACATAGTTAACTACGATTATTCGATCAACAACGGCCAACATACATTTGAACGGATCAATTTACACAAGGATCTGGGAGTTGTATTCGACACGAAGCTAACATTTGTCAATCACATCGAAGCAATTACAGCCAGTGCACATGGGGCAATTGGTTTCATCAAACGCACATTAAAGAATAAGTTTACAATTGAATCTGCTAAAATATTATATTGTGCACTAGTCAGATCAAAATTAGAGTATGCGAGTATTGTATGGCAACCATATCACCGTATCGATTCCAATAGAATAGAATCAATCCAGAAAGATTTTGTGATATGGGCATTGAGATTTATTTATCAAAGAGATTAAAATTTTGTGCTACCACCGTATCAATTTAGATGTGATGTTTTAAATATACAACCGCTTTGGAGACGGCGTATAAATGCCTCTGTATATTTAATTTATGATCTCCTTTTGGGTAAAATAGTGTCGAGTTCACTTAGAAATAAAATTGTATATACAAGACTGCAATATGACGAAAACCAAAGAAATTTAAGAAGTACAGAACTGATTAGAGTTAGGGCATTTTCATCGGATTATGCACATAATCAGCCGTTTTACGTAGCTTGTAGGAACTTTAACTTGATAAGAGAAACATTTTTAGAATCGGCATCAAGACACATCTTTAGAAACAATATTGTCAAATTGGAAAATTCGATATTTGATCGGTGAAAAATTTAACTTTTAATTTTTATGTATTATATAGAAATTAAAACAGTGAACACAGTCGATATCTACTACTCCGAAGTCGAGAAGGCTGGTGGCTGGGTATACGATCGGGTGGTGTTTCATTGTGAACGATATTGTACAAATTTTGTGATAAATTCAGTCTGTGATCAGACGGTGAATAAATAAAAAAAAAAACTGGATCGAAGATTATGTGCGTAGTTTCCAATGGAATGCATTCACTTACAATAATATTTTATTTGACAACATAACGTGATTTTCGTTTATTTGTATCAGTTTTTGTAGTTGGCCGTTATATTAATTTAATTTTCATTTGATTGACCTAACGCTGAAATTCAAGTTAAATCGATAGATAATTTCGATTTTATTTTGGAATTGATGCTATATATAGCTAGTTGATAAGTTTTATTTTTAAAATGCTCTTCACATTGATGTATAACGATCTACTATTTTACTTTACTAATAGTTTTCATATTTTTATAAACCTACCTAAATTAACAGGACTTTCTGGAAGTAAAATTCCCTTCTGAATCAACACTTCTCGGTTGGCACGTATTGATATTTTTCGCTCAAGTGCTATAATGTTAGAAAAAATGACAAAATCTATAATTTCGCACACATTTTGTAAATACTCTTGAATAAGTAAATAGCGAAATATGTAAACTGCAGTCATACGAATGAAGCATTCACACAAGAATAGTAAGTAGAAGTATATATAGAAACGAAAATATCATAACTATAATAGATGTCCATGGTTTGAGGTGAATCCGGAGGAGGAGGTGGATCCAACCTGGCCCAATATGATCTAGAAGTTGGGCCAACATGGGGGTGACATACCTGGCATCTTTATTGTTTTTACGATATTATTATCGGTAAAGCGAGAAAAATTGACTTAAAGATATTTCCAGTTTTTTATATAAATGAACTGTGAGAGAAATGCGTAAGATGATATTGGGTGTATGCATTATTTTCCGGATTTTTTTGGTGAAAAACAAACTTTATCACGGGGGACGGCAGTCCCCCAAGTGACGCAATAGCCACATACATATGAAATATGTATATTTTGCGTCACTCTATATACTCTGAAAACCTAAAGGTGGGCTATTCACAACAAAAGTAGCTGTCATTGTATTTCACCAAAAATTTGGTGTGATTTTAATACGAAAAAATATTGTGAATGAACCACAGATTGAACTTAACCTCGAAATTAGTTTGTATATGTATTGTTCAGTGGTGCGTTCACAATATTTTTTCGTATCAAAATCACACCAAATTTTTGGTGAAATACAATGACAGCTACTTTTGTTGTGAATAGCCCACCTTTAGGTTTTCAGAGTATACGTTAAAGAAATGAAAATCGATACCGCTGACTTTTGGAAAGGGTTTTTTGCATATTTTAGTAGTGCTTGGGCACCAAATTAAGAATCCGCAAAAAAAAAATAAAAAATTTCACAATTTGGCCGCCAGGTGGCATTTTGAAAAAATCGCTGAAAATTCATTTTTTTCGATTTTTGACCACCGAAATGATTTTTTTGAATTTTTTTTGGCCATATTCGGAATCTAGGGAGTGCGTAAATCGTCCTAGCGCAGTGTAGTATTTTAGTACTGGTGGCGCCATCACATTTACAGTACTTTTGGCAACACTGTTATTAGTGTTTTGACATTTCATGAAATATGTTTTCACACATTTTTTTCACTGTTATTTTATCATAATAATAAAATATATATCAAACTCACAATAATAAATTAGAATTTCATCACTTTATTTCAAAAACTCAAACACGGTTCAAATGAACGAACATTAATGTCATATTTCATGAAATGTCAAAACACTACGAACAGTGTTGCCAAAAGTTCTGTAAATGTGATGGGCACGTAGTTCCATTACGCGCCCTCCACTGCACCGCTACGGCGTAAATAATGTTAAAAAAAAAGATAATCATGATCGGTTGAAAAATGGCCGAGATATGGTCAATTGGCCAAAAATGGCCAAAAATGGCCAAAAACCTCGAAATTGGCCGGTTGAGGAGTTTGTATGTCTGTTCGTAGTTTCTTTTAAATTGTGTGAAATTATTTTTTTTCGAAAGTAGACTGAAAACTGAGCAAAATAATTTCTCAGTTTCAAAAAATTCGTTGCGTAAGTGATTTTGGTCTGGGGTCGTACATTTTTGGGAGGCCGTTTTTGAGTTTTCCATCAATCGGACATTTTTCTGGCCATCTGTAAGGTACAACAATGATTTATACGTCGTTGGAAAGGTAAAAGACTCACCTTTCCGGATCCGAAGTCAGAATGGAAAAAATTTCAAAAATGTCCACCAGGTGGCGTGATATGTGACATTTTCGGCGAAAAATGACCATGAATTTTTTTACGTAATCCAAATTTTAAAAAAAAATTGTCTATGAAAAAAATCAAAAAACTAGGGGTTTGTTAGGGACCAAATATGTGATGATTTGGCGTATGTGTAATATCTGGGAAAATTCGTTTTTTTAAAAAAGTACTCCGAAGTTGAAATTTTTTTTTCAGCAAATTTTCAATTTTTGGCCATTTTTGATCACAGGTATACGGGGTGTTTTTTTAACAGAATCACGTCATTCTTAGCTTATTGAAAAGTCATTAAGGTCTTCTTGATGAAGCAATAAAGAAATTTTGAAAAAAAATTCATCGGAAAAGGTTATATCAGAATGACTAGACCTCAAAAAATGGGAAAAATCAATGAAAATCGAAGTTAATCGTCATTTATCTCGAAAAAATGTATGTCTTGCTTTGATTTTTTCCTCATAGATCGAAAGCGCACTCAATTTTGAGCCGATATGCACATTTTTAAAAACCATCATTGTTTTATTTGGTGAAAATTGGGAAAAGTTTGAACTTTGGTATGGCTCCCGTACCATGATATACACAAGAACAAAATCGAATCGTGCCTGCGTCAATTCTCAATGTTTGCTCTCAAGGAGTATCCAAATATTTCAAATGACTACAGGATTTCATCGTACAGCACTCGCCTAGGCAAACTAAACATGCAATCACTCCAAAGGCGCCGTATCAACGCATCAATTCTATTCATATTCGACTTGATGCAAAATAACGTTCACTGCCCATCACTGAAGACTGAAATTGCCCGCAATCAAAATGGACGTAACTTAAGATGTGTGGAGTACTTCAAAATCAATGACAAGAGCTTCAAAATCAATCCATCAGTACCAATCAACCAAATGTGCAAAATGTCAAATAAGGTCCACGAACTATTTTCAACGCAATCAAAACGATCAACTTTCAAAACTCGACTTTTAGCCTTAAGCGATGACCATTTTTCTAACTTGTCATTGGTGTCTAACTATAACACTGTTTTCTTTAACGATCTAATGTGATACATTGTGATTTTTGTAAAGATGTAAATTATTTATTTATCCAATTATTTATTTAATTATTTATTTATTAATTATTTTCTGACTCATTGTAACCGCGTGCAATTTGAAAATGTTCAGTATTTATAAGTGTTTTTTGCTGTTTGACGGTAATTTGAACAGTTTACTATTAACTATTTAGCTATTACTGTAAGAAGTAGCTAATTAGTTATTAGAAATCTTTATTAAAAGATGTGGTTTTTAACGGTGATCAGATGTATACCAAATGTGTATCATTGATTCATACCTTTTTCCCACCAAACAAATGTATAAAAATTATGTACAAACTCAAAAGATTCAGCCAGTTTTGGCGGTGAATAAATATTATTATTATTATTAAGCGGCCACCTTTTAATATCTTAGTAATCCACTGTAATGTACTAGGTTTTTACTTTTTTTGTTCACTTTGACAACTGATTTTACAAAATTCGGACCAGAGGAATTCAACGAACAATCCGAACATTTCAGTTTCTACGAACGAACGAACGAACGCAATACAATTCTACGAACGAACGAACGAACAAAAAGACCAAAAAATTATTCTACGAACGAACGAACGAACGTTCGTGGACAGCTATGATTGTGCTGTTAAGCGTGTTCAGATTTTCGTATATTTTCTGTTTTAAGTATTAGACACTAGATTAGACATGTCTATCACTTTGGGTTAGAATTTTTGAGGCGACGCAATATTAACATTTTGTATGCGTATATGAACGAACGCGTCACTGAAAATTTATATCAGAACATTTCCAGATTTACAGTATTGCGTCACAGTGAGAACTTCGAACGAAGTGTTTTGTACTTATTTAATAACAATAAGAATGAGTACATTAACCAATGTATTGCCCATCGTTAGCTATGACTTCCGCCCATCTTCGTGGTGGCTTGTCGATTCCGCGTCGAAAGAATTCCTCATCTTTTGAGGCTATCCATTCATCGATCCATTTTCGCACTCCTTCAGGATTTCGAAACGATATCTCGGACAAACCCATTTACATCGATCGAAACAAGTGGTAATCAGAAGGAGCAAGGTCTGGAGAGTACGCGGGTTGATCAAGCCGATCCCAACCGAAGTCTTGTACTTTTTTTAACGATGTCTGCTCGATGTGGCCTGGCATTATCATCGTGAAACACAACTTTGTCTTGTTTAGACGCTATCCGTGGCCGTTTAATCTTCAATGCATGCTCCATTTTGATTAATTGCATGCGGTAGCGTTGGGCCGTAACCGTTTCACCTGGTTTTAGCAGCTCATAATACTATTGGTGAGATCTAAAAGAACGCAAGTGTGTTCGACTTTGTCGCAATAAACGAATGTATGTTTTGCGCCAAGTAAATTTTGAAAAAAGAGAGTATGTATTTCGGCTGAATCAGTTATTGGAAAAGGAATGCATGTTTCAGTTTTGTTGGTTTGGATAAAAGAACGTAAGTGTCTTTGTTCTGGAAGTGGGCTTTGGTGGATCCTCAGGATCATCAGAACCGCTCCCAGTTCTGGAAGTGGACCCTCAGGATGGGCCAGAGCATTGTAAAACCATAGTCTGGTCCATCCTGAGGATCCAGCAAAACCCACTTCCAGAACTGGGAGTGTTCTGATGATCCTGAAGATCCATCGAAGCCCAGTTCCAGAAAAATCATCGTTAAACATGCATCCCTTTTTTAACAACTGATTCAGAATCACTTACTTTCCTTTTGCAAAATTTATTTGGTGCGAAACATGCGTTCCTTTATCAGCAACTGATTAAGCCGGAAAACATACTTCCCTTTTACAAATTTTTTTTGGTGCAAAACATACTTTCCTTTTAGTAAGACAGAATTGGCAAATTACATACATTCCTTTTCCAAAATTTAAAGCGAAAAAAAACATACGTTCTTTTGGATCTCACCCATAGAATACACGACACCTTTTTGATCCCACCAAATGCACAGCATGACCTTCTTGCAATGGCCTGGTTGGCCTGGATCAACATACGCTCCTTTACGCTTGGGGTTGTCGTAATAGACCCACTTTTCTTCGCCCGTGACAATTCGACTCAAAAAACTATGTTTTTTGTGTTCTTTGAGATGTTTTCTGCATGCTGTGATTCGTGCTTTGAGTTGATTTTCAGTCAGTTGATGTGGTACCCATTTTCCTAACTGCCGAATCTTTCCCATTGCATGCAAACGTCTGCAAATGGTTGCTTGGTCAGTATTTAATTCAAATGCAAGTTCTTTTTGCGTTTGACATGCATTTTCATCGAGTAATGCTTGCAACTCCGCATCTTCAAACTTTTTTGGCTGACCTTGTCGTTCTTTGTCACGCACATCAAAATCACCACTTTCGAAGGGTTGAAACCAATCGAAACATTGTTTACGTGATAAAGAATGTTTGCCATACAATTTCCCAAGCAAACGATGACTTTCAGCTGAAGTTTTCTTTGCAAAAAAGTGGCTTAACAAAACTTTCCGCAAAAGCTGTTGCTTTCTCCAATTTTCAAAATTTTCCATGGTTGAAAAAAAATATGATTCGCACAAACAAATGAAACACTTTTTACTGATTTTGACAGTATTTGAATGGGCCATTCAAATGACGTATATGTCATTGATCTACTACAAGCCAGTGGTGACATCTGATGTCTGAGTCCGGAAATTAATGCATACACCCATAAGTTGAACGTTTAAATACAGAATTCATTGAAAGTCTCAAATTTAAGTCTTATCCGGTTTAAAACCCAGAAATTATTCCGTTGTGATTTAAACCGATTTCTGGGTTCAAAATATTGAAAAATATTTAAAGCAAAATAGATAGAATTGAATAGAAAAAAATACTGAGAACATTATTAATCTCTTTCAAAACTACTAGATAAGAAAATAATTATTTTGTGTTTATTTAAAATATATTAAATAAACCACCAAGGCGAAGAAACGCTGATCGGTGCAGTTATTGCCCCGACTAAACTGTATCGATTTGCCACCAAGCATATATTTCACTTTCGATCCAAAACACTCATTACCAAATAAAAGTAGGCTACATTAGCAACAGAAAACAGTTTCCTTTGAATCTGACCGATCAAAATAAACACAGAAAAGTTGAGATTCTGTGAGGAGAAAATGCCGGATCGGTATTTGCCGAAAATACAAAAATCACTATTGACGGTCTACGCTCGACTGCCGTCAGGTGTGTATACTCATCGCGAATTTAAATATGACAACGGAATGAATGAATGTTGTAGATATTTAAATTTTTAAGGTATTACCCCCTGTATCGATATTTTGAATTACCCCCTGTATCGAATTACCCTAAGGCTAACGGCCTTATTAAACCGAAAAATATTACATCCGTTTATACATGAATTGCAAGTTAGTAATTGATTAAAATCCCTCCCCCATATGAAAGCGTTTTTCATTACTCATAATTATTTGCTTTGAACTGATGAAAGGGCAACAGTCAATGAATATCCTTCTCGTCAGTTTGTCATTTTGTTCAGTCATTCAAATTGTACTAAATTTGCTTATTAAATAATTTATAATATATAATACAATTTTTATTCTTGTGATGTGTAATGTATGTTTGTAAACAACTGCAACATTTGTAGTGCTAATAGCAATAACTAATTCTGATGAAGATGATGATGATTCAGATCAGTCATGGTATGGTGGTCATCAAGCAGTGAAGAGGAATCAATGGAATTGAGCGACGATTTAGATGACAATAGTGAATTGGCTGACAACAGTAATGATACGATGAAGAAAACTGAGTGTGTGAAAAAAAATCGTCATCGTACAACACTCTGTATCCCTCATTAAAATCAACAAACAAATCAATGAAAAATTAGTTCTTATCATGAAGTCTGGTTAACTGTCGTGTACTTCCGTATTATCTTATGGATAATTGAATCATTGAGTACTAAACAAATAAATATTTCTTACTAACATTTTGAAGTTTCTTCAAATTTTTCACTTTTCTTTTTTCGTCTCCATTTCCAAGGTTTGAAAAATCGGCCGAGAGCACTAAATTTACTCTTGCGCTCAAGTGGTGGTGATCTTGCACAAGACCCTAGACTATTTGTTCTTATGATAGCGCCATTATGTTGTTTTTTGGCTATTGAGAAGGAAAAAAAAGTTAAAACGTTGATAAAAAGTTTCACTATAAGAATATGGAGTTATTTTTTTAAATATTACTTTGATAAATTGTGTATTTCTTCAACATTTAAAAATTTTTGTTTTTGAAACTGTTCAATTACGAATTCGATAAAAACCATCACTTTTGATTATAATAGTTTAAGAATGAATTTGAGAATAAATTTCCATTGAAAAGTGATCATTTCAATATATAAAACATTCATTGAGTTTTATTGCTAAAGTTCAATTAATATTGATACTTAAATTACCAATTGAGACGTAAAAATGTGTCCTCAAATTTATTAAACACAGAACAATTTTTATTTAAATATTTAACTAGTAAGAAATTTTTCGAAAAATTGACACAAAACGTGTTTGGTCGAACACAAACAGTGGTCGAATATTTTTTTTCAACCGCAGAAAATATCAATTTATATTCTGACTAATGAACATATTGTAAATAGTTATTTTATTAAGCACACAGCTATTTTCATATCGGGTCCTTACATTTAAATAAAATCCATCCAAGTTCAAGTTTTTTTGTTTTTTGACTGAAGGTAGGAATTGAAATTAAAATATATCTCATTTAAATATTACATTTTAATCATAGAAGCATTTTCATGGTTACTAATTCTAATGCATTTAATTTAATAATTTTATGCAAATTACTATGTTCGGCCTAATAAAAAAAGACAGACCAAACCATCTAACAAATATTTTGTCACGATTCGAGAATCACAAATATAATAATTTAGAAAGTAAAAATAATGTAACAAGAAATTTTCAACAAATTCATCTCACAACTTGTGTAAGTAAAATGTATATGTAATTTTGAGATATACCTTATTATTTTTCAAGAGATGAAAAGAATACTCATAGTGAATTGAATGATTTAAAGTAAGCTCAATCCCCCGATGAAAAAAGAGCAGCATGATTTTTTTACGTAGATTTGTTGTTGTAACAACTTCATACAAGATAATATATTGTAATTTCATTCACTTTAATTCTGACCTGTTCAACTTAAAATTAAAAAAAAAATGGTTTGTAGAAACGGCAATTTTGAGTGAGTTTTCAAGAAAATATTTTAAATCACATTTAAAATCATTATGCGGAAAAACATTCTATTCACCGTTCATAAGAAAAAGCATTTTCGTTCAAAAAAGTAAAGATTTTTGAATTCAAAAATGAAAATAAGATTTCAAATCTCGCGTACTTTACATGTTATTACATTATTGGGATCTTACCAATTACTGTATTTTCAGCAATTTCTTTGGCTGCATGTGCGGCTGCAACTGCCGGAGCACATTGCAATATTTCTGACAGTGATAATGTAGAGGCTATAAGTTGACGTTTTTCCTCAAAATTCAAATAATCCAATGAATTGGATCGTTGTGGTGTAACAATCGTAACTGATCGGTGCACCGAAAATATATTTTCATGTTGCGGGCTGGTGTTGTTGATTATCTTCGAAGGCTGATCTTGCATCGACATAGTCGACTTTCGAATATAATTTTCAATCACAATAATAAAAGCGATTTTTTTTTCAACAAAATTAATAAAAATCACTACATTGCATTGAGCTATTTATTTTTTAAATTTTTCGTTGTCACATACAAGTTCTATTGTGCATTTGATTTTTTTTGTTAAAATTCAGAATATATTTTCTGCTCATAAAAAGGAATCATAATTTTCTTTGAAATTTTTTTACCATATCGCACTGCTCACTTTTTTATCTGTATTCTTTCAATAATTTATATATTTATTGTCGTAATAAGTATTGTTCAATATTTTCTATAACTTTTATACTAGTTGAACCTATAATATTTTAATTATATATCCGAATACTTTCAAATCATTTTCCATTTTTTGGAATATTTGAATGGACAGAAATTACAATTGATTGTCAATTTTCTTAAACAATATTCATCAAGTGAAATACACAAAAACCACTGTATTTGAACCAATATATTAAAAATGTTTAAGAATGTTTTGGCTAACAATTTGTTGTTTACGATTTTGTTTTTAGGTCTTTGTACGGTGTTGGGATTGGACATTCATCCGCAAATATTGAGACCACAGAATCAAAATGCTGCCGTACAAAATCAAGCAGCTGACGATGAGGATTCCAGTGACGATGAGGACTACGTTTATGTTCTCGATGTTTCCGATGACGACCAGTTTTAATTACATGTAGCATTAAGATTTCTTTTTAAATAATATTATTGTAACGTTTTGTTACTATGCTGGGCTTGAGTTTTGTGGCCTTGACCGAAGTACGGGCAGTTCGGTATATAAAATAACCCGTAGGTGAGTATCATTTATTGAACTGAACCGATAGTATATTGATGTTAATTCATACTTACTAACTGAGTTTATTTTTTCTCTTTTTTTTTTTCCATTGCGACGTTGAAAATGACTGAAACTACACTCAAATCCGACCCCAATATTGACCGTCAACATATGCCCGATAATGGATGAATTTGCCACAACAAATGTTTTTTGGGTAGTGGGAGTATAGTCAAAAAATGTTATGTATGAGATTCACACTATATTCCTTTATTTTCTTTCTTTCTTTCGTCCACTATGACACTTAGAGGAAAACTCGATGGATATACGTATATTTCTATATTATCTTACTGTCTTCTTAATCATTTTTTTGAATCGGTCAGATTGTATAAAAGAATTAAAATAATCAAATAATCATGACAAACTCATATTCAAGGTTCAATAAGCTCCAATTTAAAAGGTTTAATTAGGATCTTCGGAAAAATATTATTCATTTATGTTATTAAAAAGTGGCAATGCTTATATGGGCTCAATTTCGAACAAATAACTTGATCGTATTTATTAAATGATATGGAATTTCTTAGAAAATCTAATATCATTCCATGTTCACATGCATATTGTGAAGATTAGTCACGAAAATTGAAATATAAGCACCAAAAATCTTCAGTATCACTTATAATAATGTAACTGTTGTTATTATAAATATTTTATTTATTTTTAAAAAAATTTTAATAACAAAAGATAAGGTTCTAGATTTTTCGTTTTGTCTGCATCATTCGTTTAACATATTTTCAGATATTTTGTTTAAATAACATTTATCCCAAACACATACATAATCCGAACATTAAATTTAATATTTTTTGCCTCTATCAATTGAATACAGTGAATGAAAAAACATAGAAGCCTTAATTTTAAAAATAAGAGAAACCATCTTGTATTATACTCTTTTTTCGACTGAAATTTATATACAACAAAAACAATGTAATCGAATAATTTACATGTATATTGTATGTGTTTGAATTGAACGCATACAATAAGGAATTTGTGTATAGAATGCACATATACAAACAAAATTCGCAATGAAAAAGGCAAGTTTCAGTATAACATATATCTAATATGAACGAAAAGAGTGAGACAGCTATATAAAACATCATCGAATCAAATAAGTCAAAATTGTATAAAAGTGCATATTATCACAAACGTATTGTGTATTACAGCAACATACGAGTATCAAGAGCGTCTTCATAATATAGAGGTTCAAATATGCTTGAAAGAATGTATTTATTGCACTCCAATGTGACGTTGTATATGTATTGTATATATAATATACAGTCGAGTTTGAATGGATTCGAATGAAATAAATTTGTTTGATTTATTTATTGAAATTAAATGCAAATGTTATTCTTCAAAAAACGATGAAAGAAATCATTTTCACCATCAATATTAACCATACCTATCTTTAGATTACATGAATATTTGATAGAAATGACACGAAAGCAATGAAGAATGGAAGAAGTACAAATTGGAATTTTATGACACATTTTTGAAAGATGTAGTGTGTAGAATTTCTTAAGAAGCATATCCCAAATGATGAATTGATTTTGAATTGAGAATAGGTATAAAATTCCAACGATAGAATATGAACCACAATTTAATAAATAACGAGGAAATAATGAAAAGAAAAAAATGTATCTGAATATTCAGTTGCAGTTCAACGAAGTAGATGTTAAATACTTTTTATTAAATATAACTGTTAACTGATTAAAGAATTCCATTCGGAAATTATGGTTTATCAAGATAAAAAGAAGAAAGAATTAAAAGAATGTATAAAATGAACATGTAAATCAGGATATATTTTAACTGGCACCATCAAAGAACTTTTACCAAACATATTCACTTGAAGTAATAATTTTTATATATTTCCAAAGATTTGTCATGCGAAGTAGGAGTGTGTAATGGTAAACTAAAATTTATCAGCTGTGATCAGTATTTTTTGAAGCCACATTTTTTTTACCTTTTGTGGTTGTGTACTCTTGTTTTATCTGTTCCATATTTTGGAATTATTTATTGGTTTGTGTGGGATCCCTTTTCCATTTGAAAACTTATTTTATGAATTTTTATAAATTAATAACACAATATTGAAATAATTTTTTTTGACGTTCAACAAATACTATACATTTTGAAATACTTATACTGCAGGTTTTTTGTTTGTTTTTCACTTATATTCAACACTTTTCAACATTCAAATTACTCAAATGTCTGGGGATTGCTTGTGATTACTTGAAATGTCAATAAAAACTGTGGCGCTGCAAATGCTGTGTTAGAAATTATCAACTTTGGTTTTTACCTAGATGGGAAAATGGAACTTAATCAATAAGTAATGGAACAGAATGGAAAATGAAATCATTATAGCAAGTATATAGTTTAAGCGCAAAATCAATGAACACAACAATTGCTTAAATTTGAGATTTGGTATCAGTGTTGAGATCGTTGATCACTGTGAAAACAGAAAAGAATGCCATTAATATGCTTATAATTTCAAGTACTTGTTAGCATCGTCCACAACTACGTCTTGGTACCATTGTTTGAAGCAATGAGATTCCCATTATGAGAATGTTCGCGTAGACTAGGGGAATTTATCTGTTCGCGAATATATATTATTCGATGGTACATATACTATGCATATTTTACGAATAATGCATTGAATGTACGTATTTTGCGAATATTCGCAGTGAATATACGCAAAATATACGCAATATTCACAGTGTTTTGATTGAGATAAAAACCCCTAGCGCGTAGACGTCCGTTTCGTTTGGTTTTTGGTTCGACAACGAAGAAAAGAAAATACAATCAATAATATTAATAATAATTTCATTGATTGGTAATAGTCTTACCGGTCTTCCGATTGACTTCTGGGATGTATTGTGTTAGTTGATTGACAAAACGAATACATAGTCACGTGCCGTTTGTTGCAATGCTCGATGCGGACACCGTAGATATCCTTTGATTGGGGAGTTTGATGCAAATTTTGCACCACCAAATACCAATATCACTGTTTTCTCAGCATCCGACAGTCTACGATCGACTTTTGTCATTTGCTTCACCAACACATGCATCAAACTTTAAAAGAACCACATGTTTTTGGTACCTTATCTGTAATAATTAAGAATAAATGACACATACATACACACATCAATAAGATGAAATCAAATCGAGAGAGAGAAAAAAATATGCAAAAAATAAATACCTCGCATGATTCATCGAATACATCCAGCTGGTAATCAAGATAGGTAGGGTGGTCGGCACTTTTCTTCGATGGTGTTTCTTCATAAATTTAGTGATTTTCGTGCAGTTTACGGCATTGTTTCTGAAATGCATCCGTAAGTCGCTTCAGTTTGTATTGGCGGTTGAAAAAATCGGTCATATAGTGCCACTAATGATTTCAGAAAATTTTCTTTCTCGAATTAGAAAACGATCGAACGTATTGTTAGTTAAAATATATTATATCCCTAAAATCGAGTAATGAACATAAAATTACAGTGAAATTTTCATACCCAAAACAATGAAAATTTACTGCAACACTATGATACGAATTTTGAGTGAACAAAATCTCATTTGAAATGACTAGTATAGGAAGTTGCGAGTCTGTTTAGGGAGTAATTCTGCATTTTCAGTTTTTTCCCTTCACTTCCAGTTTTTTTTATTTCGACTTTTTTCGAAAAATGTCGATTTGGACCATCATCGGTGAACACGTATTTTCATAATATCACTCATTATGAAGCAAACACGGATTATAGTGCCACTTTTTTGGGGAAAAAAATTATCAAACACGTTAGATGGCGTTCGTTTAAATGTAAATGTCTATGTACATACGGTGGCGCCGCCCTACACCAAAAATTACTGAACTATAAAGTAAGGTAGTATTGTTATGAAGAGCAAGTTGAAACTATGGTGTCTCCGTAGTCGACAAGGATGTGCCCTTCCAATGCGGCAATAACCAACGAAATGAGTATGTTCCCACGATTTCAAAAAATATAATTTTTATCGTATTTTTGCACACATGAAACCACACATTTTTTGAAGTAGCAACGTTACTTGGGTTTTTATTGCTGGTAATGAATGTACATGATCTCTAGACTATATCATGCCTTTGAGCTCATTCGATCATTGCATAGATATGATATACAGTATCAATTGCGGTTCTCATGAAAATCATCAGTTTTTGATGATTTTATCAATTAACGGCATAATCTTTTTTTTGTGCATCCACGCACACAGAAATGTATTTTAATCAACACAAGGAGTGCATTTGAGGAGGAAGGGCAACTTGGGTCAGGCCGCCCTCCACCTCTGTGGTACAGGGCAGGTTCAAAAAACAAAAATTGGCTAACATATTGAAAATTCGCCCAGAATAGGGTCTTAACCCTCCTCACCCCCAAACTCAGTACATATTCGGAGT